CCTTATTATGTCTCTAATACTTCCCCACAAGCCAGAGTATATGTCATGCGTCAAGCTTGTTACATATGTTATCAACACAAGAGCCCTTAAGGGATTTAGTGAACATGTTCACAAGTTGGTCAATAGAGTTAACACAATTAGTGATTATTTCTCCTAAGACTATCTTCTCTCACAAAGTAACAATTAATCTTTATTGTTTGGTCCACTCATGCACTGGATTTGGCACAATCTAAATAGACATTGATTGTGGCATGTGTTTAGTTAGTACCTTGAGTGTCTCATGAGTTTAGTACCTTGAGAGCCTATAATTTTAATTGTTTGAAGCCATGCAATCTCACAAGCAACTACTACCATGGCTTGGTACTCAACTTCAACACTCGACACTCTAAATCGCTGCCTAAGAGGTGACAGAAGGGAGGTCAGAAGAGACAGTACCAAAAGAAGCCATGGATGAACACGAGAGGGAAACCTTAACAATCTAAGATTCTTCAATCAAGGCACCTGAAAAAGGAAAAAGAGTGACCTCGACACTCTAAAGCGCTGCCTAAGAAGACGAGTCGTGCCACACGCACAATGAAAAGGGAGCAGATCCACAACTTCAAAAGGTGTTGAAAGCGCGTAAGAGCTTTGATGAATGCGTCATTGACGACATGATGGTCACCTGGCCAAGACGATCAAAACCATGTGATCGTCAGTCAAACCTGAAACTCCGATAGTGGCAGTTGTAGATGATGGAGGTAGATGACGGCGTCGTCGACAGCAGTAGACAGTGTTGTCGCCCGCAGCAAAAGGTGTAGTGGCAGAGTCAACAAAAAAAAGTTTTCCTCAAAAGAACCTGACTCTAGATACCTTGTTGAATATAGTGAAAACTATGTATAAGATTAATCTCCTCTCTTGTTAAATATACACATAGGATACTCTATTTATAATAGAAGAAATATGGGCTAAAACAAAAATACAAATAAGAAATAATAACAAACTAGCTAAAGATAAAATATAAAGATAAGATAAATATAATATATCTAGCAGAACTAAACAACCATGAAACAAGGTCGTCAGAGGTGGAGGAGCTCAATCAAAAAGAAGCAAAGCACCAAAATACATGCACCAAAGAGCAGCACCTTGGGTTTTGTTTTGGGATAGAATTGGTTACTATAGGATGGAGCTTCTAGTTGTGTGGCACATCAAGAGTGGGTCATACCAAAAAAGGTGGCAATGGACAGGACAATGATGAGGCAGTATGTGGGGAATAAAAAGAAAAGGAAGGGACAAAAAACAAGAAATATGATAAAATATAGAGAGGATTGTGAAAAGGGATACAAAAATGAAAATGAGATACAATGATAAGGAATAAAATCAATACCTAATAACGATAAATATTTGGGAAGATATTTCCCTATCAAATCATAACTCTAATATGATCAAATCACATCTATAACAGGTATAAAATTCATTATTAAGAAACTTCGCAAGTGCTAGAAATTGAGCTTGAAAATCCAAACAATAAAAGAAAATGTTAGTACACAAATAAAATAGAAGATTTGTAGTTTTACAAAACATGTCAAACTCAAGCCAAAAAAATGTTAAGAATAAAATTAACAATACACTATCCGACTCAATTTGTTTATTCATTGTGCTATTATAGACTAATGAAACTAAAGTTTGAATAATTTTTCACCAAAAACATCATGTTGAGATAACTAATTTACTACTATTCTAGCTTAGCAATTCAGAACAATTAAAAGTTCCACTTCTTAAATTAATTATACAAGTTCAGGTCAATATCTCACATTAAACAAGAATGGAGAATCAAAAACCATCCAAGCATCATAAACCCGAGATCTACATAATAGTATACAAAAGTCAATCAATCAATCAATGTTGAACAAGAATGGACAACCATGGACCGAGACAGTGACAAAGAAAATACCATAAGTTTTAAATTATGTAATATCTTGTGTTCCATGAGTAAAGAACAAAAAGAATGTAAGCTGCATAATTATAAGAGAACAAAAGCAAAAATGTCATCAAGCCCAAAATAATACTGCTCAAATCAATGAATGTCGAATCCCACGTAAAAGAATGAAGCCTAAAGTATCTTTGTGAAATCAATTATGGGGTTAATAAATAAACATACATCATTGTTACTAATCTTCTGCTCCCATGTCTTCAAAGTCCATGTATCAACTCCTTTAGCCCCATAGTATTCCTCAACTTGAAAATCTGTCAGATATCTTATATTATTGAATTGCTGCAAGGTGGACGCAAACACCGTTTAGCCTCTGAATCAATAAATCAAATACTTTGTTACAAAGGAAGAGTACAACATCTCATTACTCACTTATTGGACCTCTCTATATTAATAATGTCCTTGTTATTAGGAGCTAATCATCTTGTAACCACAATTTTAGGTAGTTTAAATTCATTATTGAATAATATAGCTTTTAAACTCCCATTCTCAGAGATCTATATGACCTAAGAGCTTTAACCTTTCAACAAATTATCAAAGATCCACTGACCTTAATTACAAAAGTTTCAAAATCCTATTTTGCATGGTACAAGTAAACACATTGAATAATATATTATTTTCTTTATGACTTTAACAAAAGATGGGGTTGTTAAAATAACGTATTGTGGTTCGAAAGATCAAATAGCAGACACCATGACTAAGCCCTTCAAGTTATAATTATTTTTAGAATAAAAATTCTGCTTGGCACCAGAAGTAAACTGACAGCAGTTTGCAGGTCCTTTTATTGAAGGATGTGCTGAACCTCTAAGACAGACCACATTAAGACCATGTTAGTTCATGTTATGATGAGAACTTTATCCTTTATAAGTGTGAAAGATAAGCAAAAGCAGAAAGAGAGTTAGGATGTAAGATGCCTGATTGACTAGATGAACTGTGGGAGCCAAGAAAACAATCAGCTTCTTCATTCCCAAAGACTTGATGGTTTGACCAACCTCTTTCATAATCATCACCGCAATCAAGGTCTTACCGGAGCCTGTATCCAACACGGCTATTGTGTTCCTTCTCCGTGCAACTTCAAACACTTCTGTCTGATAACTATATGTTAAACAAAGAAGGCGTGAAAATAGCAAAAGCAGTCTTTATGACCAAATTCGAACAGAAAAGATAGAGAAAATACCAAAAAATGCAATCTTTATTATCAAAGTGGAATAAAAAAAATCGATAAAAGATAAAGAAAACAACACAAAATGCAGTCTTTATTATCAAACTAAAAAAGAAAGGATCTAGAAGATAAGAAAAACGCAATCTTCGTGATCATTCTTCCCAGACCATTATGCCTAAAACACGAAAAAACATAATGGGGGCGTGCATTTTGCAAAACCCATAACAATTTTTAAAACTCAAGAAGAAGGTCAATCAAATAAAATGACGCAACCCTTGAAAAAACCAAAAATAAAAAATTCAACCAGTGTTTGAAAAAGAAGGAACCACCTTCTGGGGTTCATGTTGGAAGCAGACAATTCCAGGGATGTATAATTATCAACATCGGGTTGCTTTCGTTTTTTACTTTGATTTTGGTTATGGTGTAATGAATCATGGTTGAAATTCATGATCAGAGTTTGCTGCAGTAGGGAAAAACAAAAACTGGAAAAGGGGTCAGGGAGAAGTGTGCCCTGTGAAGACTGAAAGCTTTGAGTAGAGAGGGACTAATGTACTCAGTTCACATAAAGTAAACAAAATAAGATTCCGTCAGTTTTAGGAACAATAAATAATAAAAGTTATTTTATTTTAAATATTGTTATTTTATTTTATTTTTTTATTCTATTTCTTACTACAAATATTTTTAATTTTTCAGGTACTAAACTCTCATTTTCATGATAATTCTTTATGTATAATATTTTATATCAAATTAAAAATAAAAAATGGAGGTGAAATTTTGTAAAAAGAAATGTTCAATAAAATATTTAATATAAGACATCAAATATAAATTTAAGTTTCTGATGAACTTTTTGTGATATATATAAAAAAAAATTAGCTCTTATTTTTAGATATACGATATAATAATTATTTTTCAGCAAACTTATTGGGCTTAACATTATATTAAAGATAAATTAAAAATTATTTTATTTATATTTTAAGTATCCGAGTAATAATGACATAAACTTTCAAATTTAAAGTAAAAATATGTAATTAAATAAGTAGATAATTTTACTGCGTTTGAACATTCACTTCTTTTTTTATGAAGACGATGGAGTGTTTATAAGTTTTAAAAAATTTTAGGTAAAATTTGAGCTTTCAAAACGTTCAAAACATGTTATTAACTAAGACACAACCTACCAGAATGCTCCTCTTTATAATATTTGAAAATAGGGATCCCCATTTCAATATCATTAAAAAATTTAGTAGCAAGATTTTCAAATTTATTTATTGATAACTAATAGTAGAAAATTAATTTTAATATTCTTAATTTTACGTTTAATTGGATTTAGATAGAAAGATGAAACTGCATGTAAAAAATGCAAGTTACTTAAGAGGAGAGATGTTTAGAATTATAAGTAACTTAATTGAGTTTTATTTTAATTGAAATTCTTAATTTTAATGTTATTCTAATTGAATTTGGATATTTTTTAATTGAAATCTCGTTAAGAAAAAAAAAGTAGGATAATGATACTTTGACAACATTTTTTGACAATATTTTAACATCATCTACGTGTCATTATTCTGTGATTGGTTCAAAATTACTCCACAATCAATAATAATAATCATAAACACTAACATGGATCAATCATAGAATGACGAGTAAATGATGTTAAAATGTTGTCAAAAAATATTGTTAAAGTATCATTATCCAAAAAAAAGTAAATAGGTTTTAAAGATGAAAAAGAAAGGATGAATTTTAATTACATTAATTTTAATTGAGTGGTACTACTATAACACACATATTCACCCAAAAGAAGGTGAACAATAAAAAAACTGATAATCTATACGATTTTGTTTATCAGTTCTAACAATTTCAGATTTTACAAGTAAAATCTAGATTTAAACTCCATTACAAATGGCATTAGTTTCAACAAGCAATTTGACTGACAAATTTGACCTTGAACTATGTGAGAGTACATGGGAATTCTATTGAAGTTATGGTTGTCAGATTTTTTTTTCATCCACCACTAGAAAATAATTATGGTGAAGTTATGTAGTAAGCTCCTTGATAATTGTGAGAATGGTTTCAAGAATAAATGGTCCAAGTATGGCAATACTCTAAGTATTTGGAAACACTCTGAAACTTTAATATTAGCCCAATTAAATAAATGGGGTACCAATTTATGGAAAGATTAAATTCACATCACCAGTAATCGCCGCAAGAGCAGATCCCACTCCCGAAATGATGAAATCGATTTGCATCTCTCAAAACAATTTCACGCTTAAAAACCTTTGATATATATTTGATTGCGCTATGGCAATCTCCACACACTCTGAGGTTTTTAATTACCCTTAATGTTGTGGATGGAGGAGTTTTTATAAGCCCATAAGCTATTGCTAGCTTCTCACTGTGATAATACAAAGAACACTCTTTATCTTCTTCTTCTACATCAACAAGTGCAAATTCCGTATCAGGGACATATCCTTCTTCTCTGATCCTCTTCATAACATACTCTAACTTATTATATATCAAACCAGTTTCTTCGTGTGACCTATCGCCAGCTACGAACAAATGCACTCTGTTCTTCAAATCTACCCAACTAAACCCCGGATCCTTCTTCACGTTTACTTTTCTCATCATATTTCTGGCACTCACCACATTTTCCCATTGGTTTGCGGCGGCATAAACATTGGATAAAAGAACATAAGCTGCTGAATCTGATGGCTCCAAGGTCAAAAGCTTCTCTGCTACACGTTTTCCTGTCTCTTTGTCTACCTGAACCCTACAAGCATTAAGCAGTGTTCTATACATTGAAGCAGAAGCTTCAAAAGGCATTGATGATATCAACTTTTCAGCTTCCAGTAGCTGCCCCGCTCGGCTAAGGGCGTCAACAAGACAAGAATAGTGCTCAATCCCAGGTTCAATACCATAGTTTTTCTGCATGGAATAAAAATTCTCATAAGCTTCGGATATCAAACCAGAGTGGCTGCAAGCAGAAAGAACCCCTATAAAAGTAACTCTATCCGGCATTAGACCCCTAGATTTCATGTCTTTGAAAAACTGGAGGGCTTCCTCAGCATTTCCGTGTTGAGCTAATCCTACTATCATGGCATTCCACGAGGCAATCCTCTTCGTGTTCATTCTTCTAAACAAACCACGTGCATCTTCTATGTTCCCACACTTGGCATACATGTCAACGAGTGAGGTCATCACAAAAGGATCAAAAGCACAGTCTAGTTTTACAATATTTGCATGAATCTGTCTCCCTTGTTCCAATGCTGTTAAAAGAGAACAAGCCTTGACTAGGGTAGCAAAGGTATATTCATCAGGCTGCACCCTGGAAAGTCTCATCTGATGGTATGTGGAAAGAGCATGATCCTCTTGTCCATTTTCCACACATCCTGATATCATAGTAGTCCAAGCAACATCATCAGGTGAGGGTATCTCGGTGAAAACTCTGCTTGCACTTTCCACCTCTCCACATTTTAGATACATGTCAAGAACACCACTGATGACAAACAAATCTAAATTAAACCCTCTTTTTACGACAACAGCATGAATTTGCCTCCCTTGTTCAAGCCCCACCAATCCCCCAGCAGCTTTAGCTGCATTCGCCACAGTGATCTGATCCCCTCTCTCTCCACTCTCATGCAATATCGAATAAAGCCTCAATGCTTTGTGAAAATCATCACGCATTATATACCCATGCATCATAGCATTCCAAGATGCCAAATCATCTTGGTTAACGAAAAGAACTTCTGCCTCCTCCGTCCTCCCACTCTTGGAATAGACATCAATAAGAGTTGTTGAAACAAATGAATCCAAGACAACACCAGCTTTCATTGCGTAAGTATGAATCTGTGTGGCAAGATGGCCACCCTGTTCAAGAGAGGAACAAGCCCTCAAAACGCTCGCAATAGTGAATTGATCCGGCAACAGGCCATCACGTAATAAATCAACAAAGAAACCAACAGAACACTCCTCCAAACCATTCAGTGCAGAGCCAGATATCATGGTGTTCCATGATATCAAATCCACTTCATTCATTTGACCAAACACAGATCTCGCACGAGAAACTGAACCAGCCTTAACATACATATTAATAAGGCTGTTTCCAACAGAAACAACTTGATCCAGTTCCGTCCTCATGACAGTACCGTGAATCTGTTTCCCCAGTTCAAGGCAATTCAAACTGGCTGCCACAGACAACATGACAACAAAAGTCAAGCTGTCACAAGCAACACTTGACTTTATCATATCCCTAAAACAATCTACAGCTTCCCAAGCTTCACCTCTCTGAAGACACCGAGATAGTGTCTTGTTCCATGCAATAACATCCGAATTGTCACAGTCGCGTATAAACAATTTTGTGGCATAAGCTCGAAGCTGCTTCAACTGCGATTCGAAAGCAGTATTTCTACTCATACCAACCCCCGCGAGAGTACGAAGAGTGACGTCATCGGGACGCAGTCCCGTTCGGTGAAACTCTGAGAAGAGAAGCAACGCTTCGTGTTCGAGACACGTGTCGACGTAAGCCTTCAACATGAGGTTCCAGAGCACAACGTCCCTCACGGCCATTCCATCGAACAAAAGACGCGCCTCTCTGATTCGTCCAAACTTGGAGTAAATGTTGACGAGAGCGCCGGCCACGAACACGTCCCATAGTAACCCGATCTTAAGGGCGTAACCGTGGAGGGACGCGGAGGCGAAGGAGGAACCGGAGAGGAGACACATTTTGAGGACGGGAGCGAGAGTGTGGCGCGTGGTGGACAGGGCGGAGTGGCGGAGTTGACGGAAGAGGTGGAGGCCGTCGTAGGGGTTGTCCGCTTGGGCGTAGGCGGCGAGGATGGCGTTCCAGGTTACGAGGTCTTTGGCGTCGTGGGGCGTTGCGTCGAACAGTTTGCGCGCGGAAGAGAGGGAGCCGCATTTGGCGTACATGGTGATGAGGTTGTTGGTGAGGAAACGTTCGGGATGGTGGCCGGACGTTAATATGCGGGCGTGGGCGCGCTTTCCGAGGGGCAGGTCGGAGGCGGCGATGGCGTGGCGGAGGATGGAGAACCATTGAGGGGGAGAGTGGGGGTGTGAGAGGGAAAGGGAATGGGAATGTGAATGGATGTGGTGTGCGCGTGGGGTTAATGCGTTGGCAGTGGAAGTGCCTCGCATTCGCAACTGCATCTTTGCATTGGGAACTCAATCTCAGACCATGCTGGGTTCGTTCAAAACCAGTTTACTGCATTGTTTGCTGCTTGGACTTGGAACATGGAAGTTGGAACTCAGGTTTGCATTACAGCGGGAAGTCAGAACATGACATCTTTCTAATTTTTTTTTATTTTTATATTTACACGCTAAACTAATAATAAATCATCATTGATATGCTCTTAAGACTTAAGCATAGTTTCTGTCAACAAAAAATAATAATTAATACAATATCTTGGTAGTTTTGATATCATTTTCGATAATAAAAAAAAAACAGAGTTTTACTTTATTATTTGATATTTAATACTGGCGTTTATTAAGTGGAACTGCCAGTGTAAAAGCTATATTACTAAAAGTTCAGAAAACTTGTTATTTCACCAAGTTATCCAATAATAAAAAAATATTTTAATATAATTTTTTAAAATTATTATAAAGTCAACAAATTTAATTATACATAACAATTTAAAATTAGATGACAGTATAAAATATCCCATTCTCAATGCATAAATTTTGTTCTTATTTTTTTAAAGTCCGCGGTATCATTTTGATATAGTATTTTCCATTTATTAAGTCAAATGAAAAATGGTAAAAAAATGGCACATCAAGCCACTTGGTTTTTCAAATATATTATCAGAATAAAAGTTCTTTATTTTTATTACATGTTATCGGAGGGTTTATATAATTAAAAATTATTTAGTTACATTATAAACTCACAAAATCATACATAATTTTAAAAATAATTATAAACTAATAAAATAATTAAATAATTAATAAAATTAAAATTTTATAACGTTTTAAACATAAATTAAATTTTGACATCAAGTAAATATGAGATATTCACATCCGATATCTATAGACTCGTTTTAAATTTATTTTTATTCAAAAATAGTTTTATTAATTATAATAAATTTATAGAAATTAATTTATATGAATTAAAAATTATATAATACATTATAAACTCATACAAATTTTTAAAAGTAATTATAAAGCAATAAAATAATTAAATAAGTAATATAATTAAACTTTTATATGGATTTTGACATTCGAACTTGTAAATATCATATATCCAATCTGATTTTTGTAGAATCGAATATGCATATTCGATAAGGTTATCTTAAATAAATATTATTCAAAATTTTTATTAATTTTAATAAATTCATAAAAATTAATTTATATGAATTAAAAAGTATATAATACATTATAAAGTCATATATAAAATTAAAAAAAAATTATAAACCCATATAACAACTAATTTATACATAAAAAATATAATTTAAATATTTGACAAAGATAAAATGTGAAACAGTTATGAAAATTCGAAGGTCCTTCCATCGGGTCGACCTGCGTCTGATCTTAATAGCTGATGTTGTCGTTTTCAAATTTTCAAATCTGATTCATGTTTGTTGTTTTCTGTAACCATACAAATAAATTAACAAAAATAAAATACTAACCTCCCTCCAGTCATATCAATGCAACCAGCAAGAGTACAAGAAGACGCACTCCAAGCGCACACCAGAAAGCAAGGTAAGCTTGCTGGAAGCACCACTCCAAGCTGCACTTGAACACTAACAACCCCTCTTAAATATCTTTAATTTTGATCACTCTCAAATATAACAATTCATATGAGCTGCAAAGAAAAAACTCAAAAGGAAAAATTATTATCACAGCTGCAGTTCAAATGGGGTATTGGGGTGTTGGGTTTCTTAATAAAAATGATATGAGAATGCAGAGGTACAGGAATGCATGTATAATAAGAGAAAAACAGAGGTGCATTTAGTGCTGGACAGAGAAATTTTCAATAAACAAAAATTAATAAATAACCACTTTATTAATTAGGGTATTTTAGAAACAATTCATATGAGCTGCAAAGAAAAAACTCAAGAGGAAAAATGAATATCGCAGTTGCAATTCAAATGGGGTACTGGGGTGTTGGGTTTCTTAATAAAAATGAGATGGGTATGCAGAGGTACAGGAATGCATGTATCCTAATAGGAGGAAAACAGAAGTGCAGTTAATGTTGGACAGAGAAATTTTCAATAAACAAAAATTAATAAATAACCACCTTATTAATTAGGTATTTTGGAAACAATTCATATGAGCTGCAAAGAAAAAAATCAAGAGGAAAAATAATTATCACAGCTGCAATTTAGATGGAGTACTGAGGTCTTGGGTTTCTTAATAAAAATGAGGTGGAGATGCAGAGGTACAGGAATGCATGTATTCTAATAGGAGGAAAACAGAGGTGCAGTTAATTTTTTATTTAGAAATTTTCAATAAACAAAAATTAATAAATAACCACTTTATTAATTATGGGTATTTTAGAAAATTGAAGGTACATAATTAAATACTTGGAGTGTGAAATGCTTGAGGTGCAAGGTGAAACACCCACTGTAAATTGAAACCTAGTCTGAATCTCTTATTCGTAAGGAACAAATATAAAATATAATACGGGAAGAGTTAATTTATTTTTCTCCCAAGAGGTGTCATTTAGTATCTTTCTTTCCACCAACTTTTTTGGGTAAGAAAGATACACAGCAACTATAATTTCGGTTCCGCATCGTTGAGGGTTTCCTTATTTAAATGAGAAGATCCAATCACCAGACAATACCGTGGCCACGATCATCGCAATAAATTGTTTGGCATTGAATCTAATTTGCAAAATCAATTGTTCTATGCGTAATTGAGTCCTATCGATTACATCTGAATGAAATTGGTAAAAATGGAATTTAACAAGGAAATGAAAATTAGGGTACAAAATTAACAGAAGGAATATAATCCCATAATGTGAAGTCCTGCTTACTAATGTAAATCTGATGTCGTCGCTAAATCTTAATGATACAATTCTGCTACAACCCTTCTCTTTCCTTCTCCCCTAACTGCTTTTTTCTTTCTCTTTTTCATGTTCTTCGGGCATATACAGATACAACAATGACTAAAATGTCCGTGATCGCGGACTTTATACCGTGTCAAAAAACTTGTACACATCCTTGGCTTGGCTGGCTCAATATATCACAACGCGAAGTAGGCCTGGTTGAGGTTCCGTGAAGTCAATGCCCTCTTCAAGAAGAAAACGCTGTACAGCTATTGGAAGTCTTGCGGGAGTGCGGGAACCCCTGGTATGATGACCTGTGCCCACACAAATATACACCTGCAAACGCTGCTCAGCAGCTACGGCAGTGCTTTTCAGCACACTCAACTCATGTTTCAGCACATGAATGGCTTCACTCGCATGCAACCCATGTAGGTCTATTATCCTCTCGTGTCCTCTTCCATTGCCCTGCATCTCTGAAGCAACTGCGTTTCTGAAAAAATCAACATTTGTAATCACTGAGGCAGAACCCAAAACTTTAGAGCAATGTATATAAACATTCTGGTTCGTACAATAATATAGCATGATACTCCAGGTAGCCATTCTAGAGAGAAACTGTTACGAGGTGACCAAGAAAAAGGTCGAGCTAATGTTATCCATGGATTAAAAGTAATCGTAAAAGTACTCTCAACTCGAGCATTTTTTCCAAAGCAACCAGTTAACGAATTGGCATTACAAAATTCTACTTTAAGGGGTTCAGATTGTTCACGCATCTTAAATAAGTCAGAGACAATAACTCTCCTTCAGAACGACGTGAGGACGGCAATAAGAAACATTTGAGGAAAAGAAACAAGTGGTAAGTACGAAAAAGGGTCGAGACATCAGAGGGAACTCTTTCGTGTCAATAAACATACATAACAGATTGCTGAGGAGTAGCAAAATATTTTAACATCATAATGCCATATAATACTCCCTTTGGTCCCTATATAATAGTCGCTTTATGAAATACATTTTGTGCATAAAAACAGTACTTATATCACATTGAGAAAAATTTTCTTGTGTGACCTATTTCCGACAAAAAAAAATCAGCGATCATATTTACCAGGATTTAGATTTAAAGAAGAGAAGTTGAAATGACACTACAAATGTCATGTCACCAAAAGGGAAGTTTAATTTTTATCAAAAAAATTTTTTTTAAAAAAATAATAACTCTTCGAAAGATAATAAAATAAAATAATTTATAACAAAATAAAATGAGATACTGCTTGTAGTTATATATTAGTGAGAGAAATGCAAAAAATAGTACTCGTAGTACAAATGTTACTTATCTTCCATATGGAGAGAGAATAAGTGAGTTATAAATAATAAGAAATACAGAACAAATAAATGGTGCATTTGGGCGATAAAAGTGCAAAAATTTAATTCAATTAATATGGCTAGAGAAAACTTAAAGGGGTATAATAGGTATAGAAGGAGTAAAATTGCATTGAAGATTAACGAATCTAAATGCTTCCTTAGTTTGGGTGAAACAACCTTGAACAACTATGATACTGGAACAGAGGGAGTGTAAGTTTTTTTATAATCCAAACTTAAATCGAGAGCGAGAAGGGAAGCATTGGGGAACAACAAACCTCTGACGGTAAATGGATTCTTGAGCTTTTCCATGAGCTGCCTTCATATGCATATTGTGAAGCTGCCCTTTAGCACTTAGTTCCTTTGCCAGGGCTTTATTACCAATAAGGTAAGCTTGACGAGCCTGTTTCAAATTAGAAACGAATTAAAATTAAACGAAGAAATAGATTCAAGACCAATGCCTCTGGAAGAGACTTTGTTATCTGATTCTTGAACTAGTATCATCCCAACAGTACCTATTGAATCACACACACATTAAAAGGAGTTGAGAAAGTCAAGGGAATGCCAAAAGAATCAAATCAAGAGGTATGTAGCCAAAACCATTATTTTAAATTTTGATAGCCAGTAACTTCACCAAAGCATGAATTTGAAAACCCACCTGCTCAAAATATGCATTACGTAAGCATGCATGATCACGAGCCTCTTCCCGAAGCTCTGAATACATATTTGCTGCCATGCAAAATTGTTAACGAAAATAGTGCACAGAGAAAACACCCCACAATTGAAGCATTTTAACATAAGTACTTACCAACGGCATCACCGGTTTCAAGCCAAATTGGAGCTGCTCGAGCTGAGCCACGGTTCTGCAATCGATCACCAAAGTGTGCTCTGGCCTGTCCACCATT